AAACTGACTTCTTCAAGCACTTCTGCTCGGGTGCAGCTACTGGATCTCTGGCACGACTGAGTACGGCCCGAACCTGGTCAGGCAAGGTAAATCAAGCTGCTCGATATCTGCCGTGGCAAGACAGTAGTGAATGATTACTTGGCAAGGCAGTGTAACGCAAACCGCCAAAGCACTGGCAACTCACCTCATGGTCTTGAAATATGCAAACACTGCAATCGGGCAAATTGGATGCGCGCTGCCTTTGCTGCCTGGCCCATCTGATGTGTTTGGGTGTGTGCTGCCTGGCTTAGCTCATCTGATGGCTCTGGCATGGCGGCCAATCGCCATGCGCCGAGTACTTGGCAAATAACTCCTTCAAGCTGGCAAGACAGGCAGAACTTCTGCTCGCTTGGCTCATAGCTGCATCAACGACAGAGGTCGGAACTCTTACATGACCCAATATTGCCGAACCTTGTCAAGCAAGGTGATCAAGCTCTTGCTCCAAATTTGCCTTCGGCAAGACAAACGCAATAACTGATTTTGGCAACTGCAAACATGCAGGCAACTCAGTCCATGGCCGTTTAAAAAGATGCGACTGCGTTGGGGCACATTAGATATGCCTAAAAGGCAAAGATGGAATGCGTAAATGGGCGTATGCTGCCTGGGTTGCGTGCAGTTGCGCGCAATCTAGACTTGCGCAGGCGAATGCGATCGCATGAGCTGGGCCGGATGGGCAAATCTTACGCGCAGATTGCTCAAACCTGGCCGAGTGTCGTCAAGCTGGTCTATGTTCGCCAGCGCGAGAAAGCTGTAATTGCTTGAAAAGGAAAGGTAGCTATGCAAGCCACAGGAATGCAGGACACTCACTCTGGGATGTCCTTGGAGTCTTGAAAGTCATGACTGCATCGGGGCAAACTAAATACATAGGTTGCACACCGCGCTTGTAGCTTGGATATGTCTAGATGTGTGCTGCCTGGGCTTCGCTGCTTTGTTCAGATGAGACTCGCGCAGGCCAATGCGATTGCTCGGGCTTGGCTGCAAACCTTCCGACATTCAGATCTTCAGCCCGCGTGGCTCAGCAGCATCGACAACATGGGTCTGATCTCCTGACAGACTGAATATGGTTTGAGCTTGGTCAGGCAAGGGAATCAAGCTGAGTTACGCACGCTGCTAAAGCGCAAGCAACTCTCCCCGATGGTCTTGCAATGAGCCGTGCTTGCGTCGGGCCAAATTGGGCGTGCGTTGGCTATGCTGTGTGGCTTTGATATGTCTGGGCGAATGCTGCTTGGGCGTGGCTGCAGGCCTTATCGCGCGAGTCTCTTGCACGACTGAAAAGGGCCAAGCCCGAATCTAATCAAGTTAGGTAGCATGGCCTCTATGCTTGCCATGGCAGGCTCAGGGCGAGAAAAAAGTGACTTTTACTTGAAAGTCAGTGTAGCTACGCAAGCAGTCAACTCACTCGAATGTCCTTGGAGTCTTGAAGAAAGGCATGGCTGCATCGGGGCAAATTTGAAATTCGGTTGCAACATACATATAGATTGGACGTGTCTAAATGAACGCCGCCTTTGTTCAAATAAGATTTGCACGGGCCAATGCGACTGCTCGGGTTTGGCAGCAACCCTTCCGCGCCATCGTTAAGTTGACGCAGCAACTGACTCCTTTAAACTGGAAAAAGAGGCAGAACTTCTGGCCACGTGGCTCAGGCAGCGGCATCGACAACATCGGTTGGATCTCTTAAAAGCCTGGACATGGCTTGAGCCTGGGAATCAAGCTGCTGAATGTTTGCCGTGCTACGGAGATAAACTTCTTGGCAAAGGACCGCGAGTAAAGAGCAGGCAACTCTAGACGCAATTCTCGGAAGCGGTCCCTCTTGAAGTTCGCGTGTTCGCAGCTTGGGAAGGCCGTAGACGAAAGCGGCTTGGACTCATGCCCTCCTCTGCCTGATATTCGTCATGAGTTGACGCCTGAAGGGTGAGCTTTTCAACCTCTGGGAGCCCGAAGCCCAAAGCTGACCTCGGCGAAAAAACCCGTGACCTCCGAAGGCCAGGGCGTGCGGCGGTGCACCTGGAGCTTGGCCGGCGCCTTTTGCCGAAAAGCCGGGCACCGCGCGCTGCGGCAGCTGGGATTCAGACAAGGCTGCCCCTCATTCAAACCAAACGCGGGTTTTGCCGCTGAAGCACAGCTGAGCCTCCGCCTTCACAACGCTTCTTGCGCTGAGAAGCGACTCATGCCATGGTCGCAGCGCTTCTCATCTCCTGCAGGGACAGGCGACGCGTCAACATCTCCGCAACGAGGGCGAAGTCGATGGTGGCAAGGAAGCCGCCCAAGACGTCAGAGACGTCCTCCCGGCCAAAATGGCAAGGTGGCCAATTCAGATTCACAACACCTCTTCTTATAAACACAACATGGCCCCCGTTCAGTGAACTGAGGGAAATGTTGAGGATTACCTTTGATCCAGCCTGGTTCGGGTTGTCCATCTCAATGGCATTTTCGGATCTTCGGGCCACCGGAAGCTTCAACTGGGTATGCAGCAACATGGCGACTGCGGATCGAACGCACACGGTTTTGTCTGAGAATTGAAAGGCCCCAGACCGAGCAATGTCCCTTAAAACGACACGAAGATTGGCTGGTCTTACCTGCTGGCTTTCGTGGGTAGATCCCCAATGTCCTCCCAAAAACAACAGTAGACTACCGACAACATGAATACTTTGCTTGCTGGGCCTTTTATCTGCTGCTACTGCAGCGGCTGTTGCTGGTGTTCCTGCTGTTGGTAGTGATGTTGCCTCTGGTGGTGGTTACTCGTGTTGAATGCACCACCTGGATTCGCTCAAGCCAAAAACCGCAACCCGCCACTTGTGAGCAGGTCTCATCAACATGTGTGAGCCGGAGCGGTGCGCGGGACCAGTAATGCGACCCCTTACCATCCACTCTCAGCGAGTCGCTCTTCTTGCAAGCCATGTGCAGCCCCTCTATGCAACGGGCGAGTCCGAACTTCTGCCCTTCAACATGTTGAGTACTCGAACCATGCTTCTGTAAATCAGACTTTGCCACCGCTAGGGAACCGCGTGTTTCTTCCGCGCAAAACATCCTCGGTCAGCGTCAAGTGCACAGGCCACCCGAGCAAAGGCAAAGGCCCCTACACACAACCAACTGTTCAAAAAGAAAACACCATTTGGCCTGCTGCGCATGTTTGAATGTGCAATGCTTGTGTGGGAAACCGTTGGCCTATCGGTGCGTGGGCCACTGGAAGAGGTAATTCAAAGGTCAAAAGGTCTGCTTCTGGCAACTGAGCTCAGCGTGTTCAACGGTCCTGGGAACAAGAGAGCTGCGCCAGTAGGAGCCGCTTGCAAGTGAAGTTTTACTTTACAATCTCCCGAGTTCGGCTTGGGTATAAGAGGCCATGCAACGAGGACAAAGAGCTTCGCGCACATCCGTGCAAATATGGAAAACAAATGCACTAACTCTCACATAAATATATATATATATAAGATATGCACAATATACACACTTATCAAAGGAGTCTTCGTTTAGGAAGCTGCCTTAATGCGAAAGTTGAAGGAGTCAAAAGAGTCATGCAAAGAAAGTCAGCAAGAAGTACAAGAAGCAAGTGCGAGGAGACAAACAGAGAAAAGTACAAAATAGAGAAGAGAGGGGTTGTGTGGCAGGCGCAGCATGTTACTGGCTGGCGAGATCGCGAAGGCTACCGCTGTTTACCGCGAGGCTCGCCGCGGGCGCGGGAAGTTTGCCAATAATGGCACGCTCGCGCGCTATCGTGCGTGTCGGTGCGCTCTCGCTATACTTTTCTGCGGAAATTGCGCACGTCGAAGCCTCTCGCTGCGGCGGCATGCGAAGTTGTCGTGACATTTAAGAATGCAAGTAGTACGCGAGGTGCATTGCCGCAGCTCCGGCTCAAAGGTCGCAACGTTTAAGTACGACAGTAGTACTCAAAGCAATCCCCGGAGCTCCGGCTCAAAGTCACAATTTTTGATACTCCTTTCCTATAAGCAAACTTGTCACCCAGCTTTGCTGGAGTATACCTTGTATATATTTAGTGCAACGCAGCTTACGCGGGTCAGGGGTTTGTTACACCCTGTTCCCTAGACGAGAAAGATCGCCGTCCCGAGCGCGCCAACCCTCCTGCCAGCGGCGTTGGCTCAGACTGATATTCGGGAAGACGCGCAGGCGGGGCAAGTCGAACAGGGAAAAATAGCCGAGAAGGAATTGGCAACCGCACGGGGGCGGCGCGATTGACATTTGAGCCTTGAGCCGAAATGGTATCACAGCGCCACATTGGAACATCAAAGCTGGAAAAGTTTGGGCATGACGTTGAGCCTGCCTTGCTGTCGACACAGCTGCCGTAGTCAAAGCTATTGAGTGGGTGCTCTCTCATAGCGCCTCTTCACGCACATGCGTGGCAATCTGGATGGCCAAGAGGCGGATGCGCGAGCCAGTACGGAAACCGAGAATGCGCGCAATGTGGTCAGACGAGGCAGAGCTGCACCTTGAGAAAGGTGCCGTGGTCAAAGGAGATTGCGCAACAGAAGCGCTGGCCTTCTGGGCTGAGCATTTCCATCGAGCAGCCTGCAGGCGAGGATTGGCCAGAAGCTTTTCTCGATGGGTGGAGTTGCACAAGCTGCAGAAGTCCGGCCTGGGAGAACAGGTGCTCAAGGCCGAGAGCAATGGAAGCCAAACCCATGTTGGTACTAGCCAGCGTCTTGCTTTGCAGCAATGCTTCGGTCGCGGCAAGAAAAGCGAAAGGTTTGGTCTGATTCGATGTGTGCTTCGGGTGTGATTCGGATGGTGGCAGGCTTGAGTGAATAGCAGCAGTAGTAGTAGCAGCAGCAGCAGTAGCTGTAGGTAGCAGTAGCAGTACACGTGCTAGTAGACGAGCAGTACTAGAAGTAGTAGCAGTAGTAGTAGTAGTGGTAGTGGTAGTGGTAGTGGTAGTGGTAGTAGTAGTAGTAGTAGTAGTAGTAGTAGTAGTAGTAGAAGTAGTAGTAGTAGTAGTAGTAGTAGTAGTAGTAGTAGTAGTGGTGGTAGTAGTAGTAGTAGTAACATATCCATTTTGTTATGGGAGCTCTTGGGCCTGCGCAGCTTGACCACTCGCAGCACCGCCGAAAACAACGCACGGCCAGCGCACTCTTTCATGCGCTGCCAAGAACGTCGATCAAATTTAGGACGGAGCTCATCTGGTGCTTTCCAGCAACTTCAGTGGCTTTGACCACAACGTGGGGATGGCCTGGCAAAGCTGCGCAAAGTGTGCAAACGCTTGCTTATGGAACGTTTGCCGGAGCTCAAGGAAGGCAGAAAACATGGCCAATGATGTGTCCCCTCTGAAAATCAAGAACTCACCGCCAGCATCTTCGCCTGCAACGCTGGCTTGAAGCGCGTGGGCACATCTGAGGATTGTCTCTTGACGCTAATTTTTACCTGTCCCACCAAACCTTCCGAGCCTGCGCCGCAGGCCAAAAACACCTGCCGCGCGATTCGTCTGCGGAGCTTCCGCGGCACTTCCGCATGTTGGTTCCAGAACAATTTCAGAAAACCCTCAGCTCGTGTCAGCTCCTTTTACTAAAGAAATCGTCGGCTATTTTGCCTGAAGGCACCCGTCACTCCTGGGTATGGGTTTACAATAGTTCAAAGGGTGAGCGCTGCGCAGTCGGTGGCTTTGAATAAGCCAGGACAAACAAACTGGGCGCGAGGTGTCTGCTGCGTGGTTTGGATATGCCTGGGGATGGGGCTGTGCAAAGTTTATGCGCCGAGCGCTTTGTTCAGCAACTGACTTGTAGCAGAACTTCTGCCTGTGTGATTCAGGCAGCAGCTTCGACAACAGCGGTCGAATCTCTTAATACACGGAATATGCTGTGAGCGTGGTCAGGCAGGGGAATCAAGCTGCTCAGTGTCAGGAGTGAGTGATAATTACGCCGCAAGAGCGCGAGCAACTCACCGCACACTGCCCTTCTGAGTGTTGCGCTTGCAGAAAATGTGGTCATGCCGAGTGGCGAATTTGATCGAAAGTCATTGGTCCTGCCGCTGGCAGGATCGTGGGGACCGCATGAGGCGAGCGTTGCCTGCACAGCGTGCCTTGAACGTGTTTGGGAGGGACATGAGATTTGAGTACATGTGACTTGGCTGCATATCTCACGCACAGTTTAGTTGACTGACTCCTTCAAGAACTTCTGCTTGCGTGGCTCAGGCAGCAGAATCCATGACAGCAGTTGGATCTCTGGCACGACTGAGTATGGCCCGAACCTGGTCAAGCAAGGTAAATCAAGCTACTCCATATCCGCCGTGGCAAGACCGTAGTGAGCGACTACTTGGCAAGGCTGTGTAACGCAGGCCGCGAAAGCACTGGCAACTCAACTCATGGTCTTGAAAAGACTGCAATTGGGCAAATTGGATGGGCGCTGCCTTTGCTGCCTGCCCCTTCTGATGTGTTTGGGTGTGTGCTGCGTGGTTTGTGCGCTGCTTTGAGCAAATTAGATTGGCGCAAGATCATCTTATGGCTCAGGCTTGGCGGCAAACCTTTGCGCCGCTTGTTGAGTCAACGTGGCAACTCACTCCTTCAAGCTGGCAATGCAGGCAGAACTTCTGCTCGCTTGGCTCAGGCAGCTGCGTCAACGACAGCGGTCGGAACTCTTACCATGACTGAATATTGCCCGAACCTGGTCAAGAAAAGGTAATCAAGCTGTTGCTCCAATCTGCTGCCCCAAATTCTCGCAATAAGTGATTTTGGCTCAGCATTTTTGTTGCGCAGACCACAAGCATGCAGGCAACTCAGTCCATGACCTTCAAATGAAACGTGACTGCGTCGGGGCAAATTGGATGTGCGCTGCCTCTTCTGCAAATAGTGTGGAGTGTGGAGTAAGTGGGCGTATGCTGCCTTGGGCTCGTGCAGTTTTGCCCACGTCATACTCGTGCAGGTGAATGTGACGGCTTGGGGTTGGCAAACCTTTTGCGCAAATGGCTCAAACAAGCTGCTCTATGTTTGCCATCGCACTGATTTTTGGGCACACAAGCAGAATCTGAACTCTATTTCCCGGCACTGCCACTGCAAATCTGCTTGCGCACGGCTTTGGAAGGGAGCAAAGGAATGCGGCTTGGACTCATCACGCCCTTCTCCTCTGCCTGATATTCGTCATTTAGTCGACCCTTCTGCAGCAGGGAGAGGTTCTACCCTCGCGTGCTTTACGAGCTCACATTCGGCCTCCAGCGGCCCGACCTCCGGGCTAAGCCGAAAGATGCATGGAGGAAGTGCGAGCCCAGGCAACTCACCCGGGCAAATTGGACGAGCGTTGCCCGCTCAGCGTGGCTTGACCGTCAATGTTACCGCTGCACGCAGCTTTGCTGAGACAAGACTCGGCAGCGCAAATGCGATGGCTTGAGCTTGGCTGCAAACCTCATGCGCTGACTGTTCAGTTGAGGCAGCAACTGACTCCTTCAAGAACTTCTGCGCGTGTGGCTCAGGCAGCATCCACGACTGCAGTTAGATCTCTCACGCGACCGAAGCGTCCCAAACTTGGTCAAGCAAGGCAATCAAGCTGCTGCTCCAAATTTAGCAGTGTCACTCTGCAGGCCGCGAAAGGGCAGGCAACTCACCTCATGGTCTTAAAAAGACTGCAATCGGGGCAAATTGGATGCGCGCTGCCTTTGCTGCGCGCCCTTGATGCGTTTGGGTGTATGCTGGCACGCGTGCTGCTTTGAATTTGATTGGCGCAATTTCATCTGATGGCTTAGGCTTGGCGGGACATCTCACGCGCCGATTGTTCAGAATGGGCAGGACAATTATAGGGGCGTCTCCGGACGGCCCGCCAAACCAAGTGTGCAGAGCAACTTGGAACCCGCCGCTGCGGCTGTAGAACGGGAGCCTGGCTTCGCTGAAGCACTTCGCAGAACCCGTCGCAGAACTTCCTCGACACCACGCAAGTACAGAACCTGCTTGCTGGGAACACAGTCAGCTGTCCCCGTTTGGCCGAGCACTATTTTCTTGACCATCCGCTTCCATTTTTTGCCCCAACAAGAAGCCCGAAAACCATGGGACCTGAAGTTGAAGGAAATACATCGAGGAGCACAAAGGCTCAAAAGCAAATTGGAACCTCCCAATAATCGCGGAAGCTGATGATGGAAGGGTTTCGGCAGACTACCGCAGACTCGAGGAGCGAATATCAGAACTAGGCGTTGAGCGCTGTGAGTTTGCTTGTGTGCAGCTTTGGAAGGACGCAACGGAACGCGGCTTGGGCTTGGACTCACAATGCCCTAATTATTCCTCTGACTGATAGTTGTCATGCAGCTAACCCTTCACAATGCTGGTAACAAGATATCACAGTAGAAATCAAGCGAAGTTCTGCGAAGGGACTTGGACATCTGGGCCAAATGTCTGGTGGAGGGTGGCACGAGTCCGATTTCAACATGATGCCTTTTCCAGAATGGATGGGCACTGCGCGCTGCGACAGCTGGGATTCCCACAAGGCTGCCGGTCATTCAAACCAAACCCGGGTTTTGCAGCTGAGGCAGTCTGCGCTCACACCTCTTCTTGCACTGAGAAGCGGCTCATTCCATCATCGCAGCACCCTTCGTCTGTTGCAGGGACAGGCGATGGCTTACATCTCCACAACGAGGGCGAAGTCGATGGCGGCAAGGAAGTCACCCAAGATGCGAGGCACGTCCTCCCCAGGCAAAATGGAGTTGGCCAATTCAAATTCACGACACCGCTTTTAAAAACGCAACATGGCCTTCCTTCAGTGAACTGAGCGAAGCGTTGAGGATTGCCTTTGAACATCCCAGCCTGGTTCGGGTTGTCCATTCCAACCGCATACTTGGATTTTCGGGCCACCGGAAGCTTCAACTGGCTGGAATCCAGCAACATGGCGACTGCGGATCTACCACGCAAGGTTTTGTCTGAGATATGAAAGGCCCCAAAGCGACATGGAACAACTGGCAGGTCTTATCCGCTGGTTTTGGTAGGGCACCTTGTGTGGTGACCCCCATGTCCTCCCCAACCCAGCAGCTCAACAGCTGACTACCAACAATATTATCAGTGACTCGAAAACAGGCTCAGGATGCTTGGCGTGCTGCTACTGCAGCGGTTGCTGCTGTTGTTGTTGCTGCTGGCGGTGGTGCTTGCGTTTGCAACTACTTTGTATGACCGCTCCTCCTGGAGTTTGACACGACTGCCAGCCAACGGCCGGCAACCCGCCACTTGTGACCGGCGCGAGGAACCAGAAATGCAACCTCTTCCCGACAACTCTCGGCAAGCCATTCTTCTTGCAAGCCATTCATGTGCGAAGGGTGCGCCTCAAACTCTTCCTTGCCACATGGTGAGTCATTACTCGAGCCTCAACAAATCGACCGCTAACCAGTTCAAATCGGGCTCAAGACTCACATGTTTGTTTGGCATGCTGCACAAGGAAGTAGTTTGGCTCAACCTGAGCCAGGTCAAATTGTCCGAGCAACCAAGGTCCCGAAACGCAAGCATTGTTTAGATGCCCGCTCTATTTGGCTTTGGGCAGGCACATATTTGAACTTGTGAACCTTGTGCTAGTTCTTGCGGGATTGCTTCTGTTTGTTCCAAACTCCTAGGTCAAACAATGCATGGCATACCCACATGAAAGAGCTTCCGGGGCCAACATCCCTTCTTTGCGTGTTGGCTCCTGGCAGGGACAATCGATTAACTAGCCTCCCACAAACATCGAAGTGAACAGACCCCTGCTGATAGGCTAGAGTACTATCTTTTTTGGAGATGACAACAGTGCGCTGTTAAAAGTGATTGAACAATAATACTGTATTCCAATGTTTTTTGTGCTATTTGATTACGGGCGAGCTCAGGAATTGGCGCAGTTGGCGCGACCGCCTTCCCACTAGGAATCCCCAAATATGACTTTCTTCAAGCATCATCGGATGGGTCCTGGCTGCTTTCCCTGCCCCAGGCGTATGGCGCTGAGGCCACGTGCGTCAAAGCGTTGGCGACTTCCGGACCAATGGCCTGTGACCCAACCTGTCGGTTTGCCGTTCCGGACTCAGGGACTATGGGGAAGGCGCTCAGATAGCCTCGCACGCGGCTCACAGCTTCGAGCGGTGCGTCCGGCTGCCGCAGCGCCGGCATCGCCAGGGGCGTCGAGCTGCGCCCATTGACACCGCCAGCTGCCGTGAGGTCCCGGTGGACGAAAATGACGAAAGATACTGGGGCCACTGGCACCTGGGCACACTTCGGTGAACCTGATGATTCAGCTCGATGGCCCAGCGCAAGCCCACTCCGCACAGCTCGTTGGTCGGATAGGCGCGCGTTTCGGCCAAAAGATGCTGGCGAGGCAGGATGCTGAGGAGCTGCTCTGGGAAGTCAGCAGGGTCGGATGCCATGGTGTAAGAGTGTGATATCACGCAGCTTTCATAATGCCAGCTCCGCCATCGGGCTACTCGCTCGAACGGTTCTGAAAAATAGCAGACACAGGAGGCAGGACATTTGCAAGAGGCAAAACGCAGCAAACAAACACATATCAAAAAATCATCTCGCTGGCCCGGTGAAGGCGCCTGAAGGTAACTCCTTGCAGTTCCTAGGTTGGAACGGGCCAAGTGCGCGATCTGAGCCGCAATGATGAACGAAACCACGTGGCAGCTCGGGCCAAAATGCCAAACCCAAGCTGACCCCCAGCACCCCGTGGCTAGGAACACTGCGACCGTTGCTCTCCTTCTGACTCGCTTGAAGCATCGGACCCTACCGTTCGTGCTGGGCCTGCGCGTTCCAATTCGCCCGCAAGCTAAAGTGCTCAGCGTCCAAATGGCAATGCAGCACCTCTCAGAGGCTGCATCTGACGCGATCTCACGAAAAGCTGACAAAGGATGAGCACTTCGCACGCAACACCTCTCTCACCCTGTCACTGGGCCAGCTGGCACAGCACAAGCCACGCAAGCCGGGCAAGCAGGTGATTTCACATACCGCCTTGGGGCCTAGAGATCTGAGATGTCTGCGCAGCGCTAGCGATTGCCCCTCAAGCCACGCCAATGCAGCAATGGTCACTACCGAAATCATTCATGGCAGGATCGTCATGGCAGGCTTGCGCAGTGAAGTTTGGCACAACTGATAGGAATAACAAGACCGAGAGCCGCAGCTGAGGAAATTTGCAACTCTTCAATCTGCCATGGCCGCCTTGCAGAACTGGAGCCTGCGCAGCGCCAGCCCATCCACGGCGAGGCGCAGGCAGCTCACTCGAAGGTCTTGGGAATAGGCCGGCCGGCGTTGAACATCGTTGAACACACTAGGCGTGTGAGGCCTATACTGTGTGGATTGCGCATGCTGGGCTTGGCTGACGCTGCAAGCAGAAGATCTGCCGATGGCTGTAGGCAGCATCGACGGCAGCGATTAAATCTCCTGCGGTGGCTTCGCAAGGCGCCTTTGCGGAATGGCTTCGTGGACGCGTGTCTAGCTAGCCTTCGAGTCAGCAGGGTCGGATAAGTTGGGGCTGGATGTAATATCACACAGCTTTCATGCCAGCTGCGCCATCCGCAGCAGAGCGCGGGCTACTTGGAATGTGTGCCTGTGGCTTGCGCTTAGCAGCAAAGCTTCTGCTCAGGCAAGATGGCAAGACAGGCAGAATGTTCCAACCTCTTCCAAAGGGAAACCAAAATCCAAGCTGGGTCATTGCCAAACCCATCTTCGCGCGTGGGTTCGCAAGGTTGCCACTGCCTGGCGCATCCCTCGAAACTAAGGCTAATCCAGAGCGCCAAGATTGGCAGAAGCGCGTCAGAAGCCCAGCGAGGGACGCCACGTTGCCAAGCTGACCGTGACCATGTTCCGCTAAATGGACCAAACCAAATCTTTGCTGGGCTCCCGTACAAGCGTCCAAGCAACTCAAAAATCGAATCGGCAAAGGAGAGCGGCTTGTGGGTGCGCGGGATAGGGGGGGCCCAGCCCTAGCACGCAGACTCTGGCGAAATGGCAAGGCCAAGGCCTTGCAGGCGGCAGCTTAGTCAGACTTGGCAAGCCTCCAGCTCACTGCTTCACAGGCCTACCCAACCAAACTCACCCAGACTGCCCACAAGTTTGTTGGCAGAGCTTGAACCAGCACAAAAATATAAAGTTAGTTGATAGCCCTCGCAAGTGATGCGCCCTGCGAAACAGTGCGGGCCGCGAGGTGCGCGGTGGCTGTGCGGGGGGTGCGCGGCGCCTGCATGGCTAAGGCAGCAAAATCCACGACAGCTGCCGGATGTCCTGCACGACTGAATATGGCCGAACCTCGTCAAGCAAGGGAATCAAGCTGCTCCATGTTCGCCAAGGCAGGACAGTCATACATCATTGCTTCGCAAAGCACTGTAGTTACTCAGGCCGCAAGCACGCAGGCAAGTCACTCCATGGAATCGAAGCGAGCCGAGACTGCGTCGTGGAACATTGAAGAAGAATTGCCTTCCACTTGCGTGGCTTGAATGCGAGGCAAATGCTGCTGATGGCTTGGGCCATGGCAAAGTTTACTTGCGGCTAGTTCAGTCGACGCCGCGACGTGCTCCTTCAAGCTGGCAAAACAGGAGGCACTTTTGGCTGCATGGCTCAGGCAGCAGCATCGAGGGCCGGACCTTGCACGACTAAGTATGGCCCCAACCCAGTCAATAAAGGTAAGCAAGCTGCTCCTCAATGTTGGCCATGAGGACAACAGTAACGACAGCCCCAAGCGTCTGGGCGTACGCTGCCTGAGTGCAGCTTGGCATACATCAGATTGGTAAATGTGATGGCTGGGTTGGCTGCCAATCTTAAGCGCCGGTTGTTCAAACCTGGTTGAGGAACGCCGTCCAGCTGCTGCTCTTGCCACGGCAGAACAAAGCGGATTGATGGTTACTTGGCAAAGGGCCGCTGTTGTGCAATCTGCAAGAGAGCAGGCAACTCAAGACCTCGGAAGCGGTCCATCTGGAATCGAGTGATGTTGAGTAGTTCGAAGAAAACTAATTACTTTCCGCCGACATACGCGTGCAGCATCTAGAGGCATTTTGCTTCCGCCGCCACAGTTGTAGCCTCATTTCCGAGCCTGCCCTCTTTTAGGCATTAGTTGGCATGGTTCGTGCTCCTAGCGTTGCTGCTGCCACGTCTTCACTGACGAGCTCTACAGCAATCGGGCTATCCGCTTTGAGCCCAAGCCGAAGCCCTGAGCCAATGCACAACGAGGCGGTTGAGGCGCTGGTCTCT